GAGTGTTTCACAATCTACAATCTTGGGTCTCTCAACTGTGGTTTTACTAGCTTTCTGAAAGAGAGAGCCAGAATTTTTCTTTTAGGCCATCGCTACCTTATACCGAAACAGAATTTGAAGTAAAGCCTATTTTTCACTATTTTGTATTATGAGAATTCATCATAAATTGGCTAGTTTGGGACCAGAAATGTGAGCAAGCTCACAGGGGTGATCATATATGCTTCTCTAGTGACATAATTCTTATTAGCATATATAATTTCTGTCTTAGCTATCTCATTGATCTAGCTACTGGAGAACCTGGCTGCTGTTACTTACATAGTGTTTCACAATTTACAAGCCTTTACGGCTCTAATGAGTCTATCCTAGTTGAGAGTATTCCAATTACATTTTCCAACTTTTGTGGGGAAACAGTAATGATTATAAAAGTGTTTAATGATCTCTCAAACTTCAGGTTGAATATAACTAGCTAAATTGACTTAGTCTGCCAACTGCTGTCTCCTACACTGTATTTCTCCTTTATCTGAACTTGTCAAAAATACATATATAGCATGATATTAATCCCTTAAACCATTTAACATGACACATGATACATATAAAGCAGGGAAGGCAGCTAGGGCTGCCACCAAAATAGTTGACGATAGGGCAATCAAACCTTTAGATGTTTGGAAGATAATAGAAGCTGAAAGGCAACATTCTTCAAAGGAATCCAAATATCAATTATGTGAACAAAAGAAGAGTACCCACTGGACCAAATGCCATACACAACAGATATATATTGTTCCTAATATGCATTAGCACATAAAATAAAGCTCATTAATCTTACATTGATTGTCTCAGCACGCGGCTCGATTCAAGTCGTTTTTGTTCCATCCTTCAACTTCTTCGTGTGGGTTTCCTCAAATACCTCATCATGAGTAACTGGTCTTCCTTTAGCATTTTCCTGAAAAAATAAATAATATGTTAAAAATGGTAACTAAAATAGTTATAAATCAAGAAAAATATAATAAAAACATTACCAATCTTCTTCGATGAGCCGCAACACTAATTGAGCCGCCCGTGTGCACCGAGCCACCCTTGTTGGACAAACGGGCTGCCTTTCCTTGTTCGCTCTTCTTCTTAAATTCCGGAGAATTCCAATACTCAAGAAGTTTAACCCATAAATCATCAAGAATCCAACTTGGCCTCGTATTACTTTCTCAAGCAGTCCGAAGCAGATCAGGCAACCTATCAGAACATTTCTTAAAGAAAACAGCTCGTTCCTCAGCCTCAGAATCGCGTGACCATGCACACTTCAACTGCAAATAAAACATGTTAGAATGAATAAAAAGAGTTGAAATCTAAAGTAAAATATTAATTTTACCCTAAATTCAGCAAACATTCTGTCCCTAATGTTAGTTGGAACTTCTGACCAGAACCTATATGGTGCGTGATAAAACGAACACATCGATTCAACCACGGCTTTCGTAGCCTGAGGAGGATAAAAGCTGCATTGAATTTAAATAAGTTAGAAACTATATTTACAAATTAATTAGGAATTAAAAAGATGAATATTTACCCTGCTCCGTCGGACACAATAATCAACCTCCGAAGATCATCATATTTTCCAACATTTGGAGGATTCTGACTTCGTGTAGAAGTCTGTGCAGGAGGCTGTGTAGCTGTATCACTATCGGTGTATTGGAATGTCAAATTACTATTGACTCCAATATGTGGCCTAGAAATGCTGGGAGATGAAGACGGAGTGGATCCAGATAAAGGCATAGAAGAGTGGCTAGCAGGCTGACTAAATGATGAAAACATGCCAGAGGAAGATGATGAGGGTATGCCATGCTAAAGTGAGAGTGGATTCAGACGAAGGCATGGAAGAGTACCTAGTAGGATGACTAAATGATGAGGGCATTCCAGTAGAAGATGATGAATGAATGACCGGAGAAGATGATGATGGTAGGAAAGAGTAAGATGATGAGGGTATGCCATGCGAAAGTGGAGTGGATTTAGACGAAGGCATAGAAGAGTACCTAGCAGGCTGACTAAATAATGAGGGCATGCTAGAGGAAGATGATGAATGAATGATTGGGGAAAATGACGATTGAATGCCAGAGGAAGAAAATGAAGGAATGACCGGAGAAGATGATGATGACATGACTGGGTAAGTTGATAATGAGGGTACACCAGGCCTAAGTCCAGGTATGTGCTGGGAAGATGTAGGATTAAAGAAGGGGGTGGAAGAGGGAGCCTTGTAGCCTAGGTGAGGTATAGAGTATAAGGGAGGTGGAAATGATAACGGGCACGTAGGTGGAGGCACATGTGAACTAGCAGGTGCGTGTGGGGGAGAGGTAGTGATACCTAAGTTACCAGAAGCTTTTGTTTTCTTTCTTTTTTTAACATTCTCTGGTGCATTACCCTCTGGACGATCTTTACCTCGAGGAGCCATCTAATCAATATAAGCATAAGAAAAAATATGTTAATATGTCTAGCAACAAATTTAAATGCATAACATACAAGTTAGTAAAAAGAACAAACATGTCAATCCTAATCGCTTAGTTCATCTTCATCAAAAATTTCATCCTCCTCGCTTGTTTCATTTTCATCATCATATTCTTCCTCCTCAGTTATTTTATTTTCATCAGCGGAATCTTCCTCTTCATTAGCCATAGATGTTCCAACCACATCTTGAACTGAAGGATCAACTTCTTCGTACATGCCATCAATATGCAGTTCATCTGCTAATTCATCATCCACAATTAGTTGAACACTTGATATATCATTCTGGTATGCTATATCTAGTGCATTCTCAACTTCTATTCTACCAACCGGCTTAGTTTTTATAACCACCCACCATTCAGTCTTATTTTTACACGACGACGGATAAGGAGCGTAATACACTTGCTTCACATTTTGTGCAATGATAAATGGATCATATCTTGCATACTTCCTCGTGTGATTAACTTCAACTATTTTGTAGTGTTGGTGTACCTTTGTACCTTTATTTGGTGTTGGATCAAACCACTTGCATCGAAAAAGTACCAGCCTTTTGTTCGGCCAACCATATACTCTATTTCTAAAATCTCCTGGAGTACACCATAATAATCAATATCTCCATCTTGCTCACCATCACCACCTTTCACCCAGACTGCGCTATTAATGGTTTTTTTATTCTTAGACCATTCTTCCGTGTGAAACTTGTACCCATTGACAAAGTACTTGGACATAGTTTTGACTTGAGGATTAGGTCCCCAAGCTATATCAAGTAAAAATGGATCACTTATACCATTGTCTGGATTATGAACCTATATAGAGTTGAAGAACATTGAGAAGTTAGAAAATACAACTTGTGCTATAATGAGAATCTGGTAATATATTAGTTAACACTTACATAATCTCTAAACCACTCTGAAAACCTTGGATAAACAGCATCTTGGCCAAAGGCACTCACAAATTAACTGTCCGACATATTTATAAAGTTTATTAGTTAAAATACGGATAGATCATGCAAGTAGGTCAATAATATAATTTCAAACCTACTTGTAAAATTGTTGAACTTCGGGACAATTGAGCAATACATGTGTTGTAGCCGAATTTTTCTCCATCCCAGTCCAATTTCTTTTTTGATATTTCTTAGAACTTCTACCGGGTTGATTGAATATGGATATAGGCGGTGCCAAAGGATCATTGTCACCTTCATCATGCCGATTTGGCCTATTTATCAAATATGGCACGTGATGCTCAAAATAATATGAACAGAAATGAGAAGTTTCTTTTACTAGATATGCTTCACATATTGATCCCTCAATCTTGGATTTTTGTTTCACCATCCGTTTACATTTGCCAATAATCCTACATAGCATAATTTCAGATGGGAAAAAGTGTAATCAAAACACATAAAGGGAAAATAATTAATGGTTATTACCTCTCAAATGGATACATCCATCTACATTGAACAAGTCCTTCAAGTCGTGCCTCTCTTACAAGATGAATTGGGAGATGTTCCATTACATTGAAAAAACCACATGGAAAATTTTTTGCAAGTTTGTTTATGATTAAATGGATGTTACTTTCCATGAAAACTAAATTTTCCTCCCTCAATGTATTAGAACATAGGTCTTTGAAAAATAAGCTTATCTCTGTGATGGGTTTCCATATTCTCTCAGGCAATGAGCTAAATGCAATAGGAAGTAATGATTCCATAAAAATGTGACAATCATGGCTTTTCATATACATCAGCTTTCCTTCTTTCATGTCAACATAATTGGATAAGTTTGAAGCATACCCATCGGGCATTCTCAAATTTCGAACCCAATCACAGATCTTTCGTTTGTCATCCATTTTGAATGAATAACTGGCCTTAGGCTTCACCATCCTATTATTTTCTTGCCGTAGTTCTAATTCTCTTCGCCTACAGTATTCATGTAAGTCCATCCTGGCCTTCAAATTATCTTTTGTCCTGTTCTTGTCATCCATTACAGTATGAAACAGATTATCAAAGAAGTTCTTTTCAATATGCATGACATCCAAGTTATGTCGAAGAAGATTATGCTTCCAATAAGGTAACTCCCAAAATATGCTCTGTTTAGTCTAATTATGTTCAACACCATAACCAGGTAATTTAAGCAATGGAGACTCTGTTACCTTAGAAAAATTCTTAACCCTCTCCCAAATTTGCTCCCCCGACAAGATTGCTGGTGGCTCATCATAATCAGTTTGATTCTTCATAAATGCACTAGTATTTCTCCTGAACTCATGATCCATTGGCAAAAACTGACGGTAACAGTCAAACCATGTAGTCTTACCTCCATGTTTCAAAGTAAATGCTTTTGTGTCTTCCATACAGCAAGGACAAGCTAACTTTCCGGCAGTCGACCATCCAGATAACATTCCATACGCAGGAAAGTCATTAATAGTCCACATCAAAGCAGCACGCAATTTAAAATTTTGTTTAGTTGATATGTCGTATGTTTCAACACCTTCATGCCACAATAACTTTAGCTCATCAATCAAAGGCTGCAAATATACATCAATCAAAATTTTTGGATTACTTGGACCCAGAACTATACCAGTTAGGAACAAATATGGACTTGTCATACACATCTCTGGAGGAAGATTATACGGTGTAATAAAAATAGGCCAACAAGAATATGGTGCAGCAGAGACAAAAAAAGGAGTGAATCCATCTTCACACAAACCCAACCTAACATTTCTTGGTTCATTAGCGAAGTCAGGATACATCCTATCAAAATGCTTCCATGCTTCTCCATCTGAAGGATGACACAAAACACCAGGTGCCCTTTTATTTTCATGGTGCCATCTCATATGAGGAGCGGAACTCATTGACGCATACAATCTCTTTAACCTAGGTATAATAGGTAAATAATGCATCCTCTTAATTGGAACTTTCTTTGCTTTGGCATTTGTGACTTTCTTAAAACGAGACAATCCACAAAATTTGCACGCTTCTAGAGCCGCATCATCTTTATGATATAACATACAACCTTTTTCACAACAGTCAATTTTTGTTGAGGAAAGTCCTAACTTGGAAACTAACTTCTTAGCCTTATAGTAATCACCGGGTAAGTTAATGTTCGGACTAACTTCACGCATAAGCCCAATTATAGCATTCATGGCCGCTTGAGAAATATTCCAATCTGATTTGATAGTTAGTAATCTAACTGCAACTGACAACTCCGGGTGTATTGAGTCTTTATAGAGTGGACGACTAGCCGCCTCTAATAATTCATAAAAGTGTTTTGCCTCATCATTGGGAGACTCGTCAACATTTTGTTGGGATTGAACTCCTGGGTGTATCCCAAAAGCATTCGACACCATTTCATGCATTTGGGAATTATCATAATTTTTCTCAAAGAATGTACTACTCTCATAACCAGTAAGATTCTGAAAGTCAACGTCAGTTAAATTACTATAGTTCTCTCTATGAATTATCATAATTTTTCTCAAAGAATGTACTACTCTCATAACCAGTAAGATTCTGAAAGTCAACGTCAGTTAAATTACTATAGTTCTCTCTATGAACGGTCCACACATAATAATTTTCTCTAAACCCCTTACCGTAAAGATGAACTTTAACATCCTCCGGTATCAATAACTTTATACATTTGCACTTAGCACAAGGACATAATTGTTCCTTCATTACGGAATTCAGGAAGTGTTTGAGAAAAATTAAGCAATAAATCCTTTAACACCTTCTACAAATTCTTCCTTCAACCCCCCACGATTAGGATGATTTCTATCATACATCCATCAACGATCTTGTTCCATCTATTACACAATACAAGATAAAATAATTAGATAAATAAATAAATAATTTAAGAAGATATTTTTACACTAATAAAGAAGAGTGAGGAGCAATACTGCTTTATATCATTTTCACATGCATGAGAAGGTTTCTGGGCAAAAGTGCAAAAAGGCAAAAGAAAATATTGTATTATTTTAATTTACAGAATGAGAAAATGCTTTTCAAAGGGACACCACCTCTTAACCAAAATGCTTTTTCTCTATAACCATTAAACATAGAGTCATATACCAACCAGACCAGATTATACCAATTTAGCAGACCCCCATTTTCTCTTTCTATTTCTATCAAATCCAAACACAGCTCAAAACAAAGAGGAAAGGAACTAAGGGTAGGCAAATATAATTAGAAAAATACCATTTGACTAATATGCATGACTAACACAACTATATATAGCTGAAGGTTTAAGAAAAAAGCAAAACAAAAAGTCATTTTTCCACACTACACCCATCCTACAATTTTAGCACATAAAAAAAATANGACAGACTAATACAACATTAATTTCGACTAAGTAGTTAGGTCTTGACTGAAGGTAGAATAGGTTTTTTTTTGAAAGGGAAAAAGATAATGACTAAGAAAACAGTGGCAGAAAGTACAAGAACACAACCGAGCATCAATAAGCATGACAGTGTCAATAAATAAAGGTTCTAACTTTGACAGAAGCAGATTGCTAAGAAATCATTGGCATAGAAATGGGGCACAACCATCGAAACAAACTGGCATCACTATGCTGCCTCATTCTTATTTCTTAGTGTTTTACTTACTTTTCTCTCTGACCAATTATTCTTGGTTGAGTACATAAGTAGGCTCAGATTTGTGACAAAATCGGGCAAAGGAAAAGGACACCGCCATGGCTGCAAACCAGAGTAGCATACAACAACAACAACAACAACAATCTCAATCACAATCTATTTTATTCCGATACTCATTACTTTGCTTACAAGACATCTTGGTTTGCCCTGTCAAGATACGGGTCCAGTTGACCAAAACCCGATCAACTCAGCAAGCTTTATCGTCACAGCCTACAGATAAGCATCAGTAATGATGCTCACAATGATTCCGATTTTGTGAGGGAAAAATAATGACCAAGAAGGCAGAACACTTAGTAATCATTTGCACTCAGATGG